TCATATTAAATTCAAATTAGTTCGTATCTCCGTTCCCATCGCTGTATATCGTTACGGCATAAATAATTTATGTGGTAAAATAAATAAAGGTGTGTTCAGCCCCACCCTTTACAAGCATTGACTACGCCCAACTTGAACGTACGTTTTACGGCGATCTAATTATCGCAACGTGCATAACCTGTGTTTTTATACTTACTAAAAACATGTGAGATACTTTATATGTGATTTTGTATATGCTAGTAGCTTAAGTATTGTCTAGTAGTAGCCGCGAGTAGTAACACATTTAAATAAGATAGTTTTAACGGCTTGTAGCTTCAATATTTATAATTACTAAAAACATCTTTTTTAACGTTTTTCACTAAATTACTACTTAACTAATTTTAACTGTGCAATACTCATTCTAATAAAATTAATTTCAAAAACTAAAATTCTAACTTAAAATAGTTTTTTTAAGTCAGACTTCACTTTTTCTGTTCGAAAATACAACACAGACTTCGCAATTATCAATTATCGTTCTTAATTATGGTGTGTGAATTAGAAAAAGACTTAGTGCGCCTAAACTACCCGACCGATTTAAATGAAATTTTGCAAACATGCCAAATACTATTTACAATTAATATGACAAGACGGAACCCTGTATATAGTATAGGTAGGTAATGAAATGCAACAAAAGATAAAGACTTAATTTACGAAACACATAAATTAAGTGTTGAATAGTTATGATAATTTAAATAAAACACTTCAACGGTTTAAAACGCGATATATTAGTTAAACTATTTGAAAATGATTTTTAACTTCGGCCCTCTGACGTCAGAGACATCCTCCATCTTTAGTCTCCCGAAACGTTGGGCCGAAGTAAAAATTCATTTTCTAATAGTTTAACTAATATATCGCGTTTTAAACCGTTGAAGTGTTTTATTTAAATTATCATAACTATTCAACACTTAATTTATGTGTTTCGTAAATTAAGTCTTTATTTTTTGTTGCATTTCATTACCTACCTATACTATATACAGGGTTCCGTCTTGTGTACTACTCGCGTAAACTATAGACAGTATTTAGTTATGATAATGTTTGCTACGTTAAAACCACCACAGTCTCACTCTTAGTAATTAGACTGTCTTTAAATATTCAACTATCTAATAATTAAGCTATAGCGAGGTTATTTTGAACTATTAATGTATTCGCTAGTTACAACTGTATTATGCAAGCGTTATAACAAGTTCTCGACTTCACATGCCCTATGACAATAAAAGAAAAAAAAATACGTGTATGTGGAAATGTACTAAATCTTTTCGCAATTGTTTTATTTATGAGACATTTGCAAACTCAAAGCAAAGACAATTGTGACAAAACAAGCCTAAAGGTTCAAAATGCAGGCACATACATCAGTGTAGCGAGACGGAGTTTAATGAAAATCATAAGTTTGTATCAAGAAGCTCCAAGTTTTGTCCCGACGGCAATTCTCAAGTTAGACTATAATTTGCTGACGAGCCACTTGCAGGCTCCGTTCTTATGTTGTTATCTAACATGATAAAAAACTGTTGAAATACTACGTAGAAAGTCCGAACAACCAAAGCCAAAATAGGTTCCATCATTTAACAAAAGTCTGTAGTTTACACGAGTTGGTTAAGTAAGGTCTGTAAGGTTCTTAATAAAAAAAAAACATTTTTAACGAATTAAAACTCGAAATGTATTTAATAGCTTATTGTAATCTAAGTACGACCCGACGATTCGAATGCTTCGCAGCATAAACATGTTAGATAATATATTTCACGTTTACCGTTAACTGTTTTAATATTTACATTTGTACTACTTGGGTAAACTATGAAAATACTTACTTGACGGTTTTAAACGCGAAGTTTATAAAATACAGACTAATTATATTTCGTGCTTTAAAAGTATAATTTAATAATCTTTATTCTAAATCCGTAGAATACTAGAAATGCCAGAAATAATTTTATTTATATCTAACATGGAGAGATAAATGAACAAAACATAATCCTATTTGTCGTTCGTGATGTTATAACAGTTTGAGGATCCGTGCAGGATCCATTCGCAGCGAGATTACTGCAGTCTTTAACTGAGATAAAACATGAGCTCAGATTCGTTTATTAAACAATTCTTTCAACTACAATATTTCGTTTTTCTTCTTTTAGTTTTTCTTTCATAAACAACTCCGTTTGCGATCTAATTTATATACGAAGACGAGCTCGTTGGTCTAATGTATTTTTCTAAACCTGGGCTAGTCCCTCCCTAGGTCCAACCTATTTCTAAGCAACTTCATTCTTCTTTTGTTATGTTAGAGAGAGACAGAAAGCGTGAGGTTCAATTATTTCTTATTTCATCACGGATATTTGAAAATCCACAGAATGGAATGCGATTAGACTTCACGGCTTTTTCATCTGTGGACGATGGTTTGTGTCCTGGACGGAGTGTCGATATTCTGACAATTCATTTAATATCCAGATTTCCACAAGTCCAACATGTTAAAAAAATATATAATTTGAAAACAAAATAGAAACCCGTTGGACTCGTCTGTAGGTTACGCAAGTAGTAAACATTTAAATAAAACACTTTAACGGTTTAAAACGCGATATATTTTAGTTAAACTTGTTTGAAAATTATGCTTTGCAGCAGCCGTGGTCACACTCCCGGACCGTTAAAGTGTTTTATTAATTTTATTAAACGTCTATATTTAGTATTTATTAAACGTCCCACGACCCGTTGATTATTAGCCATACATAGTCTACCATTAGACCAACGAGCCCGTCAAGTATAAGTTCGGAAACCTTCGCGCATCAGAATCGTAATCTCCAGAAACAAAATGGGTTAGATAAGATACAACATAGCACTTTATGGAGAGCAAATCGTAGAAAAGTTCGGAACGCAAATAATTGATTCGGCGCCGCCGCCATGAAACTCTCTATTTAAGTTTCCTAAAAGGAAATGAAAGGAAATCGGGACCCACGCTTACGGAGTCTTTATCGAAACTTATCGGAATATTTGGAGGACGGAGCGTTTTATTAAATCGAGAGATAGTGAGGAATCAATTGGAGGACGTAGAGAAATCTAGGTCTTTATGGTATTGTTTGGCTTGACATCGTGTGAAGGGATAGAATAACATAGCGGTTGTAAAATTTATACTTTATATACTTATATAGTATAAATTATTATTCTTTAAATAATTCTAAAGCATCGATCTATCGATTTATAGCGAAAGCGCATTACTATTTGACAATTGAAGATGACGCTATTTTCAAATAAACATTACTATAAGCTTAACAAGAATCAACTTAAAAAAAACTTTTAAGTTAAACGGTTTAATTTCTTGTACACTGAAAGTAACAAATATTTTAACTTTTCACATAATCATTGTGTTTTACTAGTGTAGCCCTTTCATTTGATACCCATATTGAGGAGGTTAAAGAAAACTATGTATATAATGTAATCCGCCATTTTGTATCGGCGGCCATCTTAGATTAGATACAATGGTTATACAGTTATACAGGTTTTTCTTTTGATTGAATACGTCAAGGAAAGTGAACTTGAATTGTAAAATAATACTAGAAGAATATTTTGTATTGTATATTATTTAAAACACCTCGGCGTACCTACTTAAAAATAATGCAAGCTATAAGCGAAGTTTTACGCGAAGTAAAAGCTGTCCATTTACATGTTATCGGCCAAGTCTGAAAGAATCCTACGAAGTTGGGAACCTCTCGCCGTCGAAGAAAAACAACGTTCGCAAACTGCCGATTAAAATTCTCCAGTAAAACGAAAACTCGTAGTTTTCATAACACGGTCTATCGAATTTTTTCTTCAACAATTTTTATATTAGCCCAACGAAATCGCGAGTGAACGAGCGTTTATTTTAAGTGGAAATGTTAAAATTAACTTGAGTGATTTTTAAGGGTTGGTATTGTGCTTTCTTATTCTTCGAAACACGAATTTATGAAATTCGTTTTACGACTTTAGTTCTGTGAAGTTCTTAAGTTGCTTTAATGTTCATAAATGTACTTTAGCGCCATATCAATAAATGGATTTCTGTTTTATTTTGTTTATTTCAAGTGCTCGCCGTGACACAAGAAGAAGTACTTGTAGGGGCAGGAGGGCCTTCATCAGAACTCATCTTGTTTGGGTAGGAAATCTAGTAGGCCGGTAAGTAGGCGTCCTTGTTATAATCACAGTGGTTTAATCAGCATAGGGTTTAATAATTGAAATATACAGTCAAATCAACGATGTACATTCTAATTAACGCGAAATCAATTCAATTAGAACACTTACTTTTAATTATTACTCAGATGCAAAGCGATTCGTCACGAGCGTGGTACGTGGGCGCCATCACGAACGTAACTCTAGATGGCCGCGCCCGGCAACCATCGACAATGACGCTTCGCTAGGCTGACTTTTGACGGCTAAAAGTCAACCTGACGTCTGACATTAGCGGATGCGCCGTCACGGCCATAATCACCTCGGGCGATTCTACATACTCAGCTACCTATCGTTGCATCCTAGGACATTACATGGTACATCGCTATGATATCAACTTAAGGCAAGTGTCTCTCATTAAGTCGTATGACCTCGCCCCTACTAAACACATGTAGGTCTAACTGTTCCGACTTTCAGGTCAATCCTTTGGTGGATGTGGCCGGAGACAGTTTTCGTCTTACCACAATCACAAAACATCCAGAACAAGTCAGCCAACTTAAATGGCTCTGACTTGGAGACAGTTTTCGTCTTACCACAATCAGCAAAACATCCAAAACAAGTCAGCCAACTTAAATGGCTCTGACCTGGACGACATATTTCGTCTTACCACAGTCAGCAAAACATTCAGAACAAGTCAGCCAACTTAAATGGCTCTGACTTGGACGACATATTTCGTCTCATAAAACATTAGCACAGAGACAAGTCAATCTGATACTGACTCGGACAACTTTTTGTCTGACTATTCAGCAGGAACTAGGTTCTTAAAGGTCGTTTCCACTTACCTAGGACTACGAATCATCCCGTTCTGTATGAATGTCGGTTTCGTGCAATATTTCCCAAGTCTCAGAATCTGAGCATGCACTGAGAGTGTCTGAGCCTGCTGTGATCGTGCTCGAATTGGCGGAAGCAGTGTTTGAGCATACGGTCAAGGTGTCAGAGTTATCATTGTCATGATTTAAATTACTTTCATCTTCCGACGCCGTCTCGGCCTCTTCACGATTTAAAAGACTAGTAGGTATTTCGATCAAACCGATATGTCCCTGCCTAAATGTTGCATTTCGTTAATCGCTTACCATATAAATAATGGCGAAAATGCTCTACAGCTCTGACGACCGCTAAAGTCTCTAACTCGTATGACACAGTTTAACCAACGTTATCAACCAACTTTTTTGAGCAAGCTGGTGTATCTCTTCAACCAACATTATCGATCAACTTCTAGAGGAAACTGGTGCATCCCTTCAACAACAACTTGTTTGAGTCTGGCCCGGACAACACCAATTTCACCAGGATAAACAAGAAGCAAACCTCTGGACGGCACTTGTGAATCCTTCCTGCCAATGCACAACGTGTGTATGGCCCGGATGTCACTTTTGCTACAGGCCCAGGCTAAACAACGGAAACCATACTTCTGAACGGCACATAAACACTAAAATCATTTATTGACTTGGATTAACCAGGCAAGTGTATCACTTAGCCAACCGTAAGGTGTGACACTTTAGTAAAACTAGTCGACAATGTGTTAGGTACCAATTCAGGCTACATTTGCCACGATAACACGTTTATGTCCTTGTAAACAATTAAACAGGTCAGTCCTAACATGGATGTGACCCGGACGACACAATTCGTCTCACAAATAGCAAGCGATCATCCTGGACAAGTCAGCACCTGACTTGGACGACAAATTTCGTCAGATGAATACCATTGTGACAAGTCAATGGGATAATGACTCAGATGACACATTTTGTCAACCTTTTATGACGAGGGATCTGTGTCGATATGATTTAAATCTGATGAATCTAAGGTCCTACTACAAAATTGAGATTGCTCTTTGCTGTATATTACTAGGTTATCATAATCAATTTTCACGCATAGTCCTAAATCAAAAATATCTCTACCAATTATTAAAGGATCTGATATATTACAATCGGGGACAACATGAAATAGTAAGCTTACTAAACGTTCCCCGGTCTTAACTTCGCTCTGAATTTGTGTAGTGCATTGAATGTCATATACACCCCCTATACCACTAAGATAGACGATATCTTTACGCATTGTGCGTAACCCAAGAGATTATCGCAAAAACTTTCCTTTAAACGTGAACATGACGATCCACTATCGAATAAAAAAGGAACAGGCTCACCGGATGATGTCTTCAAAGTACCCCTAGAGGGGCGGTGGTCGCAGCAATGAACCTCCTTGACCGCAGACTTGCTTCCGTTCTTTTTATCGGGACAGTTAGTTGTCACATCTCCCCTTCTGTCCACAAGTGTAGCAGGTTACATTGGTCATTTTCTCCAACGGACGGGAAGTACTCGGAGTGTCTCGAGGCTCGACTGATACCAGCGCATCACGACGTTTTCGGCATTCCGCAAGACGATGTCCCGATATTCCGCAAAAGTTGCATCTGCCCGTGAACCCTTCGGTAGCACGAAAACGCTTCGCCTCAGGTTCGTTAGCTTCGACACCGTCTGAACGCCGCTTAAGCGATACACCTCCCAGGATCCGGAACAATTGAGTGCGAGTTGTGATATTGTGCGCAATCAATTCGCGTCGTATCAAGTTGTCCTTCTGACAGAGCACAAAGATAACGAATCCAGTCACCACTTCTTCGGGCATGACAGTCTTAGGTATTCGTTCGATTAGGTTCCATAAACGAAGGGCTGCTTCTGAAGCTGTCTCCTTAACTCCTATTTGGAATCGCAATATCTCATCGAAATAGTCTTGAAGAAGCTTTGGTTTTGAAAATTTGGCTAATAGTGTCTGTTTGACAACGCCCCAGGACATTTCATCTAAGTTTAGCTTAGTGATACAGGCAGCCGCACGTCCTTTTAAGGAGGTCGTAAGAGCCATGAGCAGGTCTATTCCGTCTAAGCGCTTATTATGAACGATTCCTTCGGTAATCTTACACCAACCACATGTCACAGTCTGGTTCATCTGGATCAAACGGCAAGAAATGTGTAGCTTGGTTAGTACTCACTGATGGCGTCGGCTGGGCTACGATAAAAGCATTGCACGTTATTCAACAATTTTTCTGCATCCGATTTTGGTGTTTCTTGCTCAATTCTAGCCCCATTCGAATCCCACTTCTGATGTAGGGGCAGGAGGGCCTTCATCAGAACTCATCTTGTTTGGGTAGGAAATCTAGTAGGCCGGTAAGTAGGCGTCCTTGTTATAATCACAGTGGTTTAATCAGCATAGGGTTTAATAATTGAAATATACAGTCAAATCAACGATGTACAGTCTAATTAACGCGAAATCAATTCAATTAGAACACTAGGTTTAATTATTACTCAGATGCAAAGCGATTCGTCACGAGCGTGGTACGTGGGCGCCATCTCGAACGTAACTCTAGATGGCCGCGCCCCGCAACCATCGACAATGACGCTTCGCTAGGCTGACTTTTGACGGCTAAAAGTCAACCTGACGTCTGACATTAGCGGATGCGCCGTCATACTTTTTGGATTTAGTTTTGTGAGTGATTGTCAATGAATCGGAATTCTTCGTGTGCGAGTCAAATTCCTAATTGTTTTACATTTCCCATTTTCGACGGGTTCAATTCTATAAAGCACCAGCTGTGTCCGCAATTTCGTCCACGTAGAATAGTTATTTTGTGCATTAAAATTTGTGTTGTGTGTGTTAAAATTAATTATATTTTTAAACAGTTTTATTTAGCTCGACCCGTAAAGAATTTATTTTTTTGGGTCAAAATTAGAAATTGAAATTAAGCACCTTCCCGTTGTCAGATTGATCTGACACACACACACATTAAATTTAGATGACGTTACAATATAATTAAATAAAAAACATTATAAATCCAAGATGGCTGAGATTAGCGCATTCAAACAAAATCTCTTCAGTTCTATATTATAAGTATAGATTATTTTACTTAACACAAACAGCCCGCATTATTCCGCGTCCCATAGAATCGAAATATAACATTAATGTTAGTAATTGCTGTGCAGGGGTGTGACCTCATTATCCTGTCATATACACTCCACATGTCTCCGGCAGCATTGTGTTAGAAGAATGCCTGGGGCACATTGGTATAGGTAATGTCGCAATAACCACTGAGGGTCACAATGTACAAAAGATGACGAATGGCGGGAAAATTACACAGATTATAAATACTGGATTTAGCGAATTTACGCCCTATACAAGTAGAAATTGCAATTGTTATAATCCATTCTAACGTTACAAGCTTAAATATAAGTAATCATCGCATATATCTAATAGTAATGGCCCTGTTTGAAAATAATTTCAAACGTAGATTTGTAGAACTATTTGGTTATGTTCTTAAAAATTCGGTATAAATATTATTTTTTAACTGTGAATCTTCCGCGACCATTTTGCAAAACTACTTAGATTTTCGAGCTCTCGTAATTGAGAAATAGTTAACAGCTAAGCTAAATTCGCCTTTGGATATTCGTAAATCCACAAGCTGAGACCGCAACGCGAGTAAATTTGACGGCTTTTTCATCTATGGCCGGCGGTTCGTGACCCGGGCGGAAATTTATATTCCTACCACCCACTTAATATGCAGATTTCCAGACGAAGTCCGACATGTTCCAGAATAATTATAAATTGAAAAATTAGAACATGATTTATAGATTAGAAACATGATGGACATGGTGGGGATCGAACCCACCACCCGTTGATGATTAGTATCCTCGGAAACCCTCATTTTTCCCCCCCCTTCCCCCCCCCGGGGGGCCCCTCTATTTTCAACCCCCAAAAAATATTAAAAAACCCCCCCCCCCCCGGCCCCCCCCCCCCCCCCCCCCCCCCCCCCCCCCCCCCCCCCCCCCCCCCCCCCCCCCCCCCCCCCCCCCCCCCCCCCCCCCCCCCCCCCCCCCCCCCCCCCCCCCCCCCCCCCCCCCCCCCCCCCCCCCCCCCCCCCCCCCCCCCCCCCCCCCCCCCCCCCCCCCCCCCCCCCCCCAACCCAAAAAAAAAAAAAAAAAAAAAAAAACCCCACCAAAAAAACCCCCCCCCCCCCCCCCCCCCCCCCCCCCCCCCCCCCCCCCCCCCAAAAAAAAAAAAAAAAAAAAAAAAACCCCCCCCCCCCGCCCCCCCCCCCCCCCCCCCCCCCCCCCCCCCCCCCCCCCCCCCCCCCCCCCCCCCCCCCCCCCCCCCCCCCCCCCCCCCCCCCCCCCCCCCCCCCCCCCCCCCCCCCCCCCCCCCCCCCCCCCCCCCCCCCCCCCCCCCCCCCCCCCCCCCCCCCCCCCCCCCCCCCCCCCCCCCCCCCCCCCCCCCCCCCCCCCCCCCCCCCCCCCCCCCCCCCCCCCCCCCCCCCCCCCCCCCCCCCCCCCCCCCCCCCCCCCCCCCCCCCCCCCCCCCCCCAAAACAAAAAAAAAAAACCCCCCCCCCCCCCCCCCCCCCCCCCCCCCCCCCCCCCCCCCCCCCCCCCCCCCCCCCCCCCCCCCCCCCCCCCCCCCCCCCCCCCCCCCCCCCCCCCCCCCCCCCCCCCCCCCCCCCCCCCCCCCCCCCCCCCCCCCCCCCCCCCCCCCCCCCCCCCCCCCCCCCCCCCCCCCCCCCCCCCCCCCCCCCCCCCCCCCCCCCCCCCCCCCCCCCCCCCCCCCCCCCCCCCCCCCCCCCCCCCCCCCCCCCCCCCCCCCCCCCCCCCCCCCCCCCCCCCCCCCCCCCCCCCCCCCCCCCCCCCCCCCCCCCCCCCCCCCCCCCCCCCCCCCCCCCCCCCCCCCCCCCCCCCCCCCCCCCCCCCCCCCCCCCCCCCCCCCCCCCCCCCCCCCCCCCCCCCCCCCCCCCCCCCCCCCCCCCCCCCCCCCCCCCCCCCCCCCCCCCCCCCCCCCCCCCCCCCCCCCCCCCCCCCCCCCCCCCCCCCCCCCCCCCCCCCCCCCCCCCCCCCCCCCCCCCCCCCCCCCCCCCCCCCCCCCCCCCCCCCCCCCCCCCCCCCCCCCCCCCCCCCCCCCCCCCCCCCCCCCCCCCCCCCCCCCCCCCCCCCCCCCCCCCCCCCCCCCCCCCCCCCCCCCCCCCCCCCCCCCCCCCCCCCCCCCCCCCCCCCCCCCCCCCCCCCCCCCCCCCCCCCCCCCCCCCCCCCCCCCCCCCCCCCCCCCCCCCCCCCCCCCCCCCCCCCCCCCCCCCCCCCCCCCCCCCCCCCCCCCCCCCCCCCCCCCCCCCCCCCCCCCCCCCCCCCCCCCCCCCCCCCCCCCCCCCCCCCCCCCCCCCCCCCCCCCCCCCCCCCCCCCCCCCCCCCCCCCCCCCCCCCCCCCCCCCCCCCCCCCCCCCCCCCCCCCCCCCCCCCCCCCCCCCCCCCCCCCCCCCCCCCCCCCCCCCCCCCCCCCCCCCCCCCCCCCCCCCCCCCCCCCCCCCCCCCCCCCCCCCCCCCCCCCCCCCCCCCCCCCCCCCCCCCCCCCCCCCCCCCCCCCCCCCCCCCCCCCCCCCCCCCCCCCCCCCCCCCCCCCCCCCCCCCCCCCCCCCCCCCCCCCCCCCCCCCCCCCCCCCCCCCCCCCCCCCCCCCCCCCCCCCCCCCCCCCCCCCCCCCCCCCCCCCCCCCCCCCCCCCCCCCCCCCCCCCCCCCCCCCCCCCCCCCCCCCCCCCCCCCCCCCCCCCCCCCCCCCCCCCCCCCCCCCCCCCCCCCCCCCCCCCCCCCCCCCCCCCCCCCCCCCCCCCCCCCCTTCCCCCCCCCCTCCTTTTTTTTTTTTTTTTTTTTTTTTTTTTTTTTTTTTTTTTTTAATTAGTATCTTGTATGGTTTTTTTGGGATTTGAAACTAACGCACTTCACATCAAACCACGAAGGTCTATAAACTGCGGCTAACTAGTGCATATATATTAATCAAACCGTATAACACGAGTAATTCACACTCAAAATAGCCGGACCAGGAAACGTCCCAAAAAGACAATGGCCCAAGGAGGCGTAATTGCAGCCAACCCCTAATTAATTAATCACACTCGGCGAAGACAAGACCCGGCACATAATTGATATTTGAAAGGACCTCCTGGACCGCTCACGGTTGACGCTAATTTGAGGGATGGATGCCAACCTCGAAAAATAACGTTCGCCAAATTATTTTTTCATAGCGCCTCAACCTCGAGTGAAATATTAATCTGCGGATACTTCCGCTTCGAGATTTCTGAATAAGGTATGAAATGTATAAACTAGATACTCTCAACGACCATACCTGCTTATACGATTAAATCGACATTCGACAATCCGTCTGTCGTTTACGCGAGTAGTGCACATTAAAAAAAATACTTTAATGGTTTAAAACGCGATATATTTTAGTTACACACAGCCAGTATCCCCGTGATTATGGCTGTTGCAAAAGATCCGAAATGTCGGGCCGTACTTAAAATAATTCTCTAATAAGTTTAACTAATATATATCGCGTTTTAACCCGTTAAAGTGTTTAATTTAAACGTAGAAGGGATTGTGTAAAAAAACTTTTTCAAAAACAAAACGTTAACAGAAAAAGAATATTATATATAATACACGAACGATAACTATGGCCCAAAGCTACAAATATGCTGTTCATCTACAAAAGGACACGGTAAAAAGTACAGTTAATGTTTAATGAATATCTTTAATTAAAATAACCCACTTTAACTGTTTAATACGCGATATTATATAACTAAGGATATATCGGATGCTTTGCAGTAGCTGTAGCTACGGGGACATTAATAAGTTTCATTAATATATAGATTTTAAACCGTTATAGTGTTTTATTTAAATGTGAACTACTCGCGTAAATTACAGATAGCATTGAATTTATTTAATTTATAAACGTTTATTATCTTTAAATTAAGGTACACAAATTAATCCTAATTCCTTTAGCAATGTTCAGACGTCTATTCTAATGAATTGAACAATGTTGATCGCCAAGAGAATGGATTGTCTGGGTACATAATTAAAACTGATCTCAAAGATCGGCACAAATTAATTACAGATAATGGCTTTCATAATCCAAAAGTCAAATAGCCTT